GGAGTTAAACCACGACAGTAACCAAAGTACTTTGTGTTCTGTGAGAAACAAGCAGTGCAGCAGGCTCAGAGCAAGCCGGACCAGTGCACTGCTTTTGCTTCTACCAGCTAGGTGACTCTTGTATTTGTGATCCTTGCAGCTCAAAGCCCCTTTGAAGTAAGAAGCTAATGCTTTACATAGTCCCTTTTAAATAAAACAGGCCAAAGGAGTCCTCTCTTTCCTTGCATAACAGCTTAATGACTGTAGGGAACAAATGTGTCCTTTATAAATGCATAAAATGAACAGGCTGCTGTTAGAAACGCCCAGTTTTGGAGTAGGTCATGCTTCCGTTTTGCTGAATGGGAATTTTGCCATTGATTCAGTGGGACCAGGAATGAGCCTCTGGCTATCTGGCAAGAAGATCTGAGAGCTGAGGCCCTGTTTCCACAAGGCTCTTAACCTCATGACTAACTTTTGACACACATGAGTTATCCCAGTGAAATCATGGAACGAATTAGGTCTTGGGCAATATCCCAGTGCCCTGCTTTCTGCACTTGCCTGTCCAGAGCTCCAGAGAGAGTGCAGCACCACCTAATCTAACCCACTGACTAAATGTGTGGCTTTGGAGCACAGCTTGGGAAGAACGGAGATAGGTGCACTGGACTGGCAGTTTCCCAGCTCTTTGGTACATGTCTGAAAGCCAGATGCTATCATGTTGTTTTCATCTTATTCCTCTGCTTCTTTGGAGTTCATTAGTCCTTTCTCAGAAACATTTCCCTAGCTTTCAAATTACTAACTTGAATGTAGACCTTGCCAACATTTTTCTTCTATTATGTTTTTGAATATGCTTTTATGTTGACTGAGCTGAAGAACCTAATATTCTGGATTTTGTGTCTAGGGCAACAATAGTTTCGTTGGAAGACTTTGAGCAAAGGCTGAACCAGGCTATTGAGAGAAATGCATTTTTAGAAAGTGAGCTGGATGACAAGGAATCGTTGCTTGTTTCTGTGCAGAGGCTAAAGGATGAAGCGAGAGGTATGGCTTGCTTGAGTGGGTCTGTGGCTTGGTACATCGTTGGCTTGCTAAGAGAGACGGGTACAACCAAAGCTCATGTTTATGGAAAGCCTCACATCATGAGACTTGACCTGGATGCGTAATGTAAGCATTGGGTATTCTCTGTGTGTCCAGTGTAGCCAAGAGGAAAAATTTTCCTCATGTAGCGCCAAAGTAATATTGGAATTCGTATGGATTCATGTGGATGTAGTAGAATTGAGGAAGTGTGCTTCAGAGGTTCCCACTCATTGTGGTTTTATGCCTTGTATAGGAAGGGAAAGCACAGGAAATGACAGAGAAAGACATGATAAATTGTTAAATAACTTCCTTTTAAAAATCCTGTTTCCTGTGTTCCTTCTAAACCTCATGGAAATGGCCTGGTTTATTTAAGGTATGCCAGTAAAGACTGCAGCTTCTGTAACATGCTCTCCATGGGACTCACACTACGGATGGGGAAGAGCACTGAGGCTAAGTCACCTGCCATGCCCGCTGGGACCATGCAGCTCTGTGGTCTGGGGAGGGTCTGTTTGCTGCCTCTCTACTCCGAGCTGTAATGGGAGGTGATGGAGTTGGGCTGCGGCTGCTCTGAGGTAGGGTCCTTGCTGCTGCAGAAAGCCCACAGCAGGCAATTGATATGGAGCTGTTGCAAAGTGTCGTCTCCTCCTCCCTCCCAAATGAATAGAGAGGGTGGTTTTTAGAGAAAGCAATATGTATCCATCTTGCTTTATTTTTTTTCTTCTCTCGCCCTGCAGACTTACGGCAAGAGCTAGCAGTACGGGAGAGGCAACAGGAAGTCACACGGAAGTCAGCACCCAGTTCTCCGACTCTAGACTGTGAAAAGATGGATTCAGCTGTCCAGGCGTCTCTGTCCTTGCCAGCTACACCTGTTGGAAAGGGATCAGAAAACAGTTTTCCTTCCCCAAAAGGTATAATTCATAGCAACTCGTCTAGCTGTTTGGCAGTATGTTCAGCTTGTTGGCACACAAGGTGCTTGTTAGTGGACTTGAAGGAAGTGTAGGTACGTGTGGATCCCACGTGCATTGCATAAGGTGTGTTTAAATCCTGGGCATCACCAGGTGTGTTTAAGGAGTATGATGAGTAAATAGCATGGAAAAGAAGGACAATGAACCTTAGATACTGCTTTTAGGGGGTGTGGGGGTTTGCACTCTGCAGTAGATGCCTGCAGTAGAGTGCTGAAGACGCATGGGATTGCAGGGAAGTGCAGCAAGTGATATTTCTGCTTAAATGTGGAGTAGCAGTGCTGGGTAAATGGTGGTCAGTAATTCTGACAGCCTAGAGTATCTGTTACCACACATACTTTTCAGGGATCCAGTTTTCTTTGTGAGGCAGCAGGATGTTTGTCCAGTCCCCTTCCCATCTGGAAGGTTCTGGACAATCACAAGGATTAATACATTATTTTTCAAATTAGAAAGAGTAGATTCCAGAGGAAGCTCTGGCTGGATTAGGTGGATTGCAGGCAGTAGCCTTGCAGATGGAGACTGCATGAACTCCATGTGTAGGTCTAATGGGAAAGATGACAGTGGACAGGAATTAAGCTTTTTCATTTTTTCACGGCTACTGTCATGTAGTCTGTGTGTTCTTGTGGGGTAATTGTATGAAGAGCGGGCAATAGGATTTTATATTTACCTTTTCATGTAGAAGTTGATTTATTTAAATTTAAAATAAATGAACTGCAGAGGAGTGGAGCATATAACAAAATGTGTCTGTGTTTGCAGCTATACCAAATGGATTTGGTACAAGCCCCCTTACTCCTTCAGCTAGAATATCTGCACTCAATATTGTGGGAGACCTGTTACGGAAAGTGGGGGTGAGTGCTCCAAACTGAAGTATTCCTAGCGTTGCTGTCACTGAGCTTTCACCCTCGTGTGCAATTACAGCAAGGCCTTGGCCCACTGATTTCGTGCTGTAGTTTCCAAGTCATCCACACTCACTGTTTAGTATGTGATAATATTTTGGCTTTTTTTTTTAATTATCTTGATTTGTAAATCATGTTACTAAGGTTCTGATGCAATTTTGGCTGACGAAATTCATGTTTAGACTAAAAAGTTTCTCAGGTGCTTTGGTATACAAGGTTAGACACCGTCACTACTTGGTCTGACTTCAAATGGGGCTGCAGCTTCCTCTGTAATGAGACCTGGACCTCAGACTCTGGGTGCCTGCTCCACACACGAGTGAGGAACCAAGATCATGCTGCCAGTGTCTCTTCATGTGCCTGAGGAGATCTGCAACATGTGCTGAAAATGGAAAAAAAATCTAGAAGCCTTTGATAAGAAAGTGAGAAAATAGATCAGGAGAAAGCCAAATGTTCCCATCTGTAGTTGATGAGGAAGTGAAATGTGTGAGCCTCTAAAGGGATTACCACCATAAGCAGGGGAGAAGTGGTTTGAACATCTGTTACAGTGTTGTTCTGGATGCCAGGCTTTCCAGTTCACTGAAGATGTGACTTTGGGGCTCGGAGAAGCTTGTTGGCATGCCTCGGTGTTGTGAGTGGAAGCATGGGTAGCTTCGGTGCCCAGCCTCTGGCGCTCGCTTTCCTCCTTCTCTTGCGGTTAACACTGAGAATGGCAATAGCTGCAGGAGAGACAGTTGTTTTAGCAAAGTTTGAAATTAAGAATTACCTTGTTGCTTACATTTGGAGCCAGTGAGCTCCTAGTTTGTTTGAAAGAGCAGCATGACGACTCGGGGATAGAGAGTGCCATGTTTAAAATGGGATCAGTGTGAGTAAGAGTCTGCAGGGGATTTAGGGAGCTTAGTCACAATCCCATGTGATTACTCTGCAAGGACAGGAAATACCAAATAAGCATGCTTCTTTCCCTGCCTGCTCTTAGGCACACGCTCTGCCACTGAAACAAAATTCCAGCTCACACATTTGTTTAGTAACAATTGTAGGAGGTTCAGGATTTCTTTGGGTTTGACTACTCATAGGATGCTTCATCCTAAGCTTTAGACTCCCTTTCTCTGCAAGAGGTTTCGCTTCAGCTTGCTTTCTTCCAGCTGAGACAGGGAGTCACTGGCACAGGTCACACTGGCTATTTCTGGCTGATGGGCTTTGACACCAGGAGGCAGGTAGTTTTCTATATCTGCCTTTAGAGTCACTAAGTAAGCTTACATGGATTTCTAGAAGAGACTGTATAGTGTCACTTCCTTGGGGTAGCATCTCAGTGCTTTGTTCTATGTGAACAAGTCCAAGCCTCACATTTGGGGAGATGGGTTTTTGTCTCCAGTGCCTGCATTTCCAAATCTGAATGCCCCCGTGCCCGGCGCGGACGTAACAGACAGTTGCAAGGACTGTGCTAGAGCAGATGGATATTCAAGTTCAGCCTCAGTCCGTGAGAGCAGAAAGGGCAGGTGTTGTTCTGAAGTCAAGGAGAGAATCAGGATTTTGGTCTCCCTCCTGCCAGGAGTCGGTGGTTAAGACAGAGACTGTCACCTTGTATAGGGGGAAAAAGCTCTGACCAGGCTTGCTTGGAAGCAGTAGAGATGGGGTACAGAGCACAGAGATGGGCTTAGCTGCTGCCTTTGATTCCCCCTGATGCTCTGACTGTAGCAGCTCTTATTCTGAAGCCTATCAGTGGGGCTTAAGAAACTGGCTTTGTTTTGCAGCCCAAGATTAAGAAAGAAAAGCTAGAAGGCATTGTCTCGGGGGAAAAATTCATCCAAATACACAGTCCCTCCCAAAACTTGAGGATTCTGCTTTAGGCTCTGTCTTAGTCTTCTGATCAGCTTATGCCAGCCTTGCTGCAGGTGCTGAAGCAAGAAGCTTTGGTAGCTTTCTGCTAGGAGTTGGCTTCCTTAATTTAGGTAGTTAATTGAGAGTTGGTATGTTCTAAAATCTGAGCCCTAATGGGACTGAGTCATGCCTGGCAGTCTGCATCAGCGTCTTGCTGTATGGGTTTCCTTTGTGGTTGGGTGACAGAAAATGACAGCTTTGTTCCCACTGAGTTCAGTTTTCGCCAAAGGTGATGGCACTGGGCTTCTGATTGTGGCCGGTCTTGTTTAACATATTTATCAATGATCTGGATGAGGGGATGGAGTGTTCTCTCAGTCAGTTTGCAGAGAACACCAAGTTGGGTGGAAGTGTTGATCTGCTGGAGGGTAGGAGAGCCCTGCAGAGGGACCTGGACAGGCTGGATCCATGGGCTGAGGTCAGCTGGATGAGGTTCAACAAGGCCAAGTGCTGGGTCACAACAGCCCCCATCAGGACTACAGGCTTGGGGATGAGTGACTGGAAAGCTGTCAGGCAGAAAAGGACCTGGGGGTGTTGGTCGATGGCAGCTGAATATGAGCCAGGATGTGTCCAAGTGGCCAAGAAAGCCAACGGCATCCTGGCCTGTCTCAGGAACCGTGTGGTCAGCAGGAGCAGGGCAGGGATTGTGCCCCTGTACTCGGCACAGGTAAGGCTGCACCTCGAGTCCTATGTTCAGTTTTGGGCCCCTCACTCCAAGAAGAACATAGAGATGCTGGGGAAGGGTCTGGAGAACAAGTCAGATGAGGAGCGGCATCAGGGAAGGTTTAGATTAGATAATAGGAAAAAACCTCTTCACTGAGAGAGTGGTCAGGCACTGGAAGAGGCTGCCCAGGGAAGTGGTGGAGTCACCATCCCTGGAGCTGTTCAAGGAATGTGTAGACGTGGCACTTGTGGACATGGTCTAGTGGGTGTGGGAGTGTTGGGTTGATGATTGGGCTGGATGATCCTATAGGTCTTTTCTAACCTGTGTGATTCTGTGATCTTGGGGTCATGACAAAGCCTGAACTCAAGCAGCAAAATACTTCTTCTTAATGGTATTACTTATTTGACATCTCCTTTTTTTTCTTTTTCCCTTTCACAGGCATTAGAATCCAAATTAGCTGCTTGCAGAAATTTTGCGAAGGACCAGGCATCACGGAAATCCTACATTTCAGGGAATGTTAACAGCAGCATGATAAACAGCAATGGCACCAAGTACCCTCATCCGGGGCATACTTCTTTCTTTGACAAAGGGTGAGTAGGGATGCATTTTTGCCCTAAAGGGAGTGTATTTCAGGGTGCTGCTTGGAGCAGAAGCTTTTCTTGTCTGGTCTTTAGCCCACCACAGCTTTCGTCCTATAGGACAAATAATTTGTGGAGCCAAAGTCTCAAGGGGATGAGGAAGGTGACAGTGTAGATTTCTGTAAAGCAAAGAGAAAAGCCAGTGTTGACCCTCTCTTAGCTGGGAGGATGTCAGTGCTGGTTCTGTCCCTCTGCTGCCTAATCTCTTGGTGGCTGCATCTTGGGTAATGCAGAAACCTCAGACAGCAAGTGACGTGAACGTGCCCTTGGAGAACATTTCAAGCAAGTAGTGGTAGAGTTGCCATAGCTACTGCTGCGCTCGTGCGTGGGGAAGTACATCAGCCGCAAATGTGGAGATTCCCTTGGTGACAGCAACCGAGTGCAGGCAGCAAATGCTCCCGTGGAGGGTGGTGCCCTGTTGTCTTTACTTCCCCCTCTGTTAGGGGAAAAGAAAACATCAGTAACAGCATACTTCTGGCTGATGGAGGGGCAGCTGCCTCAGTACTGTCTGCACTCTGCGTCAGCCATGAAGCCAGGAACTGCTTTTGCAAGAAAAACTACCCCATGTGTCTCCTGTGACTCGCCCGTGGTCAGAGCTTCCTCTTGGATACTGGGAAGTGGCTTAGCAGGAGGATTTTCCCTTGTAGTGCAGGGCCCTGTAGTTGAATGAGGAGCCCCGATGAGCAGGGCGAGAAGCACAGCACTGCTCCAGTGTTAGCAGGGTTCTGTCGTAAGCTTTGTGTGGTGTCACTGGGCAGAACACCCTGCATGCTCCCGGCATGGTAGTGCTACACCTCATGACAGTGCGATTAAATGCTAGTATTCAGCACATCCTCAATCCAGGATTTATCTTGGAGAATTAAAGGAGCTGTGACCAACCTGAAGAGTGCCACATAGAGAGCAGACACGCTGAGCTTCCTGCAGTCATCCTCGTCTGAGCTGAATCGCGTTGCTATGTGGGCAGCAGGGCAAGTTGCAGCTTAGAAACCGGCATTTGGACTTTTTGGAGTCACTGTTGTTTGAGGCTTTTGGAAAGGAAGAGTCTGGAGACGTACCAAAGTCAGCGCGACGCGCATGTTGGACAGGCTGTTGGGTTGCCTTTCTGCAAGGCTGGCTGGGGCGTGCAGCAGCGCTCGCCGTGCGCGGGCTGCGTTTCAGGGGCGGGCTGTCGGGGTGGCTGCTAGCCAGAGCGTAGCTGTTCTTAGGAGGCGGCATGGCTATCCTGAGTTGTGGGGTGAGGAATAAGCTGATTGCCCTGTGGGGTGGGGGTCACTTGTAATCATTCAGATTGTCATCACACTCGTTATCTGGGCTGGCTGCCGGGAGGTAGGAGCAGGTTGGAGCTGAAAAAGGCTTAGAAACCCAGCCTCCCGAAAGAGAACTTCGACAGCAGAGTTGGAGGATGTGAGTGGGCTACAAAGCGGGGGTGGAAATGACTGATGTGCTTATCTGCAAGTTGTTAGAGATCCCTGCACGGCCTTGCTGTCCTGTCCTCCTCTGCACCCCCACACGCTGTTCACGGCGGGGTGGGTGGCCCACGCCTCTCGCCTTACGTCAGCTCCTGCTCGGCCTTGCTGCCTTGTCGATGTCTGGTCACACGGGGGGTGACTGCAGTGCCCGTGCTGTGTACGTGTCTCCCCTGGCTGCTGTGTAAAACCCGCAGAATTCCGTCTGCAGGTGTAAGCTACACCACGTCGTTCCTAAATGACATCAGCCCCATCGTGCCTCCTCGCCACAGCAGCCAAGCTGCTGGCCCTGCCCTCTGCGTCGCTGGCAGGCATCAGATCCAGAGCGTGCCATGGTGGCTGGGCACGAGGGGCTGAGTCAAAGCAGGCCCTTTCTTCTCCCCTCTCCTCCTCTCGCTCCAGCCCCTGTACTCTCCGTCCTGCCCCGAACTGTTGCTGGAGCCTGGAACAGCCACATGTCATTGTAGATCAGCTCCAATCTGTAACCGTTGCCCAAAGAACAGGTGGCTGCTGGGTGGTGGGATTGGGACGGAGGTAACTCAGCCCCATCATTACAGTCCCAGCCACCTTCCTTCCCCTGCATTTTGCTGGTTAAATTGACAGGTCTCCATCTCCCAGCAAGCACTTGTGCCTTGCCTGCTGAGCAGAGCTGGACTGGCAGCTGCAGGCAGGGACAGGCAGGAGCTGGCATAATGGAGCATCACTTTAGGGGAGGCCTGGAGGACAGCTGAGCTTGCACCAAAGCTTTGCTGAAGACTTGGAAGGATCAGGACTTCTCTACTTTTTAAAACTCAGTGTCTGGTGTAAGATTAGTTTCCTGCAGACTTGTTCCTTCAGGAACATGCTGTTTCTGTCCAGATGCCAGGGCATGGCAGAACAGCACCTGAGGATGTTCTCAGATAGATACTTGTTTTTTGCTGTTGTAATTGTTCTTAATTGGTTATTAACTTGGATCCAGTTGGGAAACAAAATGGCTCTGACCTTGATGGGTTCTGCAGAGTCCTGGGGCTTGAACAGCAGAGCTGGGACAGCATGTGAGCCAACACGGGGTGTTTGTTCCTTGGGGCATTAAGTCCTTGTTCTCTGCCCCCCTGCTCCCTGTCCTACACTGGTGAATGTCAGAGATCTTGTAGTTGATGCTTATTCTTAGGTTATTTTTGTGAGTCTATTTGGCTTTGTTTTATTAAAAACAAGCTAAAGTTTGAATGAGAGAAGTGCCTCTGCTTGCACACTTCTAACAGTCCCATGAAGCTTGTAGGTGTATTTATATAGCAGACACTATTATCCACAGCTCTGACTGTAATACATCAGGCTGTGAAATCAGGGTCTTCTTTCTGTTCCCTAGTTACCTAATTAAAAAAGTTTCCCCGGAAAAGAAGGAACTGTGGGTGGCTCAGGTGCAGGTGAGTAATCCTGTGTCCTGTAATCTGCTTTGCAGTGCTCTGGGCTGCTCTCTGGGTCATGTGCTTGCAGCAGCGTGTGGTGGGAGTGCTGGTGTTGTGGAAATGGGACCCCTTGCCTGCCAGTGCAGAGCAGAGTCTCGTTATGCAGAGCTCAAAGAGGAGAGGTCTGGTGAGGTTTAGCTTAACACCTTTGCTTTGCCCCACTTCTTGCACCCAGGGTTACACCCAAGAATGTCTTTGTTGTGTGCATAAACTGTCTCAATTTTTCTCCACCAGGCGTGAAAAGGTCGTATTCCCCACCTTGGTCATGGGTAAATGAATTCACTGGCAACGATAAGCTGCATGCCTTTTAACTTGGCGCTTGGAGGTGCGGAGTGGGCGGTTTTGCTAACTGCATGAGGCAGTTCTCTCAGCATCACAGACTAACAGTCCCTGACCAAAGCCTGAGACTGTAATCTCTTCCTCTTTACCTTACCTAAACTTCTCTGGTGCTATGACCTGTTGCGACCGTAAGATGGAGTGCTGCTTGCTTTCTTGATCTAAATGTTTCCTCAAATACATGCACGTGTCTGAATCGGTCACGTCAGAGATACAGGATGAAGTATCGCTGCTGTTCATTTAGTTGATCTTGAGGATTAGTTTGCCCTTTGGTCGTGTTTTTCCTTCAGTGGCTGAGTTGCTGTGTTTTTGGCTAGGGGAAAGCAAACAAAGGCACAGATGTGCTGGGAGCCGGCCAGGGTTACGGAGCAGGGGGAGAGGACAGAAGCGTATGCTCCTGCTCAGTGTCCCCATCCCTGCCCTCACGGCCATCCCAGCTGGAAGCACCCCGGCTGGCACAGTCGTACCGGCAAGGCTGCGCGGGTGCCGGGTCATGGGCTCTGAGGGAGGGGATCCTCTGGCCTGGGGGCTTGGTGCAGGCACCACCTGCAGCGACTGTGGCTCAGTTTGTCTCATCCATCTCTTAAGGGAGCGTGGAGGGTTCCCCGTGCTGTCCAGAAGTGCAGGTCCCTACCAGCCTAATCTGCCACAGCCTTGTCCTGCTCCATACGTCTCCATGCTGCGTGCTCCTCCACCTCCCTGTGCTCTTAGTGCTGCTTGGGAGAGCAAGTGGTGTGTTTTGAAGCCTGAGCTGCCTGAAAACTCATGTTTTTTCTTCTTCTGTGGCGGGGCCGGTCTCCAGGTATGCTTTGATCACGTCCTTCTGCTCCTCAGGCTGGGCTGTTCAGCTACAGGAGAATCTGAGGTTTTCTCGTGTAGCTGAGAGAGCCTTGGAGAGAAGGTGCTAAGTACAAAATACAGCACGAAAGAAAGATTAATGTGTAAAAATCTATCTTCAGCCATCACAGGGCAGAGAGAGCAGTTGGAAATGGGCACAAAGTCCACAGCACTGTAGGGACAGGGAGCCAGAACCATCCATCAGAAAGCAGTGCCGGGGACGTTTCCAGCAGGAACAGGAACTGGTGGTTTTGGCTCCCTCTGAAGCACCGTGGAGCCCAATCCCTCAGGAAGCTGAGAGCAAGGGCATAGCGCAGGCTGCACAGAGTGGGTCAGGTCACGTCTGAGGGATGGGGAACCGAGGCAGAAGCAAGAGGCAAGTGACCTGGCTGGGATTAATCCCTGCAAGTAGGTTTCCAGACCACTGGGCAGCATCAGCTCTGCAGCAGTCCCACACACGTGCCGGGCCGGGGCGGAGTGGCTGAAGGCCGGAGCGCTGCCTGTGCAGCTCCCAGTGCTGGCCAAGGCCTTGGAGATCCAGCACAAGGACTTCTCGTCCCAGCTGACTTCTGGGATGTTATGCAGGAGGCACTTTATTTTTTACCGTTGCTCTGCTTATCATACTTAATTTTCATTTACCTCTGTTT